TTGGGTGCCCCAATTCTGAGCTTCCATAAAAACTTGCGCATCTCTTTACCCCTATCGCTTAGTGTGCCAGATTACAGTCAGTGTCTACCTGCTCCTCTAGGCTGAGAACTCTCCCAGCACTGTGACCATGCCTTACTGACCTCAGTATTCTCAACCTCCAGCATAGTAAATCTGTTGCCATCGAGCCAATTCCAACTCATAGTGACTCTACAGGACAGAGTAAAACTGCCCCATAGGGTTTCCAAGGAGTGGCTGGTGGATTCAAACTGCTGACCTTTTGGTTAGCAGCAGAGCTCTTAACCACTGTGCCACCAGGGCTCCATTCTAGCATAATGCTTGGTGAATAACAGTCACTCAGTAAGTATGTGCTGACAGCTGAGAGTATCGGTGAGTTCCCTGAGGGCAGGGCCCAGGTTCGATTCGTCTCAGTATCCCCAGAAGGCAGCACAGTGCCTGGCCCAACAGAGAAGACACCTGGTATGCTCCATAAATTGGTGCCTACTGGTGTTGGTATTTTATCCAGAGAGCCAAGGCATCCTCAGCGCCTGACCATGGAGATGCAGGGCCAATCCAGATGTGGTCCTCTGGGCCAGGGCTCAGGGCTAGGAAGCAGAGTTTATGCTTATATACACTGCTGGATTTTTCTTATTAGGATTTGCATTAATCTCTTAACAAGCCTAACCTCATCCTTAAGCTTCCATGCCCAGGGGTAATTTGGTGTTTAGGGCATGGTTTTTCCAAGCAAACCATTTTGCGAATCAAACCTAACATGGAGTGCCCTTCGAAGCTCCAGGAGGCTCCAGGATGGCGACTGGAAGCCCAGGAGTGGGATGGCTGGTGCTTCTGGTCTGCCACTCAACCGCACTCTCTGAACCCAATGGGAATGTGGGCATGCCTGTGTCCCTAAGGGCTTCTCACCTTTGCTTTCATCATTTGTGATTAGTGAAAACTTCTTTCAAATAGAGCTGTAGAGGTTGAGGGATAAAGACACCATCTAATCCCGCTGTTTCTTTGGATGGATAGGGAAAGTGAGGTCCAGGGAGGAAAAGTGGCAATAATTCTATAAAAGGGACCTAACTGTCTCCACTTACAGATGAGTACACTGAGCCTCTAAGATCAAGTAACCCAACTCACAGGCCCATGGCTAGTAATGGGCATGGCCAGACTTGACTGCAGGACTGTCTGACTCTAAAGGCAAAAGCTGTCAACGCTACATCCGGCTTGCTCAAAAGTGGTTCTCCCTCAACATTCCAGGGAAGCTGTAGAATCACAGGCTGCATTAACGAAAGCACAGGTGCACTGGAGGAGGCCACAGGCTGTGTACCCAACTCCAGCACTTCCTGAAGCCCAACACAAAAGCACTGGGGGAAATTCTAAAGGCTCTCTGATGACTGACTGTGGTGGTCTCCATCTCCCCTGGCCAGTGGCAGGCAGCAATAGTGTTCTTCAAACTTCCAGTAGAAAGTTTCACAAACTGGACATTAAAAGGGCTGGGATTTCTGCGCAAACCACATAAAAACTAGCTCTGTCACAGACTACTCGTCCTTACTTTTTGGTCCTTAGCTTCAGAGGTTTCAGGACAAGATAACCTTAGAGCTAAAAGCAGAGCCGTGTGTATGCATGTTATATACGTGGGTATCTGTGAGCTGCGAAGGTTGAGTGTGTGTATGTTTGTAAGAGTTCCTGAGAGTTGAGTGGTATGTGAATGGGGGCCGGGGACCATGCAATATGTTCAGAAGATGAGGGACACTCCCCACTCCTTCCTCTCTCTCTTCCTTTCTCCCTTTCAGGAATATGAAGGCACTATGTTTTATTCCTCCCTTAGAGAGATGTCAATAGATTTCATCAAAATATACTCCTCACCCCATCACCCCACCAGGCATTCTTGTTGTAATCATAGCTGGTAAGAACTTGATGGTGGGAATGGAAAGGGAATATTTCAACCACTAAAGCAGATCTGAACAAAAGCAGGCTTCCTTCAGGTAAATTAGGGTCAGGAGATATCATGGTTTGAATTATGTCCCCCCAAAAATGTGTGTATCAATTTGGCTGGGCCATGATTCCCAGAATTGTGTGGTTGGCCTCCATTTTGTGATTGTAATTTTATGTTAAAAGAGGATTAGGGTGGGATTGTAACACCACCCTTACCCAGGTCACATCCTTGATCCAATGTAAAGGGAGTTTCCCTGGGGTGT